GAGTTATTTTGCTAAAACTATGAATTGTCATCTTGAATGAGTGGTATGATTTTTTGGTATGACCTGAAAATAGGTCAGTTCCTGCTGCCTGTCTTTCATCCTTGTATCCTTTAGTTATTCATCTGAATTTCTTTAACTTAAATGACTTCTTCATGGAAGAACTATTGTCCAGTGCATGAGAAAGAAAAAAGCAGCTGGAGAAGGTGTACAGCTGTACTTGAACTACCCAGCAATGGGAAGGAGGAATATTCCATGCATGGATGTATTTCTTACGGATTGCTTTACAAAATTACTTTGCAGGAACTGGGGGAGAGCTGGACATAGTGGTTACTTCTAATAAAGAGGTGAAAGTTGCAGCAATTCGGGATGCCTTTCAAGAAGTCTTTGGAATGGCTGTTGTGACTGGAGAGGCTGCACAGTCCAACATTGCACCCCAGCCTGTGGGCTATGCTGCAGGCTTAAAGGTAAGTTAATATATAGTGGTTGATATAAAGTTGATATATATTTAAAGGTATAGTCTAGATATATATATATACACACACACATATATATATATATGTTCTAGTAGTAAATATATAGTTAATGCAATAGTAGTGTATAGAAGGATCTCGTTTTCTGTAAAGTGAAGGTCAGTTTCTAGGATAGACATTCTCTTTAAGGGATTTGGGTTTTTTTGGTGTTTTGGGTTCTTTCGTTGGTTTTGTTGTTGTTTTATGTTGGGGGTTTTTTTTAGTTTTTGTTTTGCTTTTGGTTTGTGGCGTTTGTTTTATTTGTTTCATTTGTTTTGTTGTTGGTTGATTGGTTTTGTTTTCTTGTGGGCTAATGGGCTTGGGTTTTTTTGACTTCTTTCCCTCAGTTTGGATCATTAGATCAGTTTAAAGCTCTCTGAAATGTTTTTGAGGTTTTCTGCAAACACATTTGCAGTGAGTGAAGGGCATTTATGTCAATTTCCTTATACTGACTGTATGGATTGCCATCCCATCTTGCATACATTGTGCTATTACTGTGGTTTCAAAGTATTTTAGGCATTTTTTGAATTGTCTGTTACCAGCACATCATGTTGGAAATTAAAAGAGATGCTCCACGACTGATTTTTTTTCTCCCCACTGATTCTGTAGATCAAAGACAGTTTGATCAACACTTTTGATCTTCCTGAACACATCTGTGTTCTCTTTGAAAAATAAGAATTCACTGTGCAGCCTTGCAAACTGCTGTGCCACCCCAGAAGAAGGGTTAGCAAAGGTTGTTTCACCAGTTCCGGCCAATAACTGAAAATCCTGAAAACAGCTATTTCATACTCTGTTTTTACTAAATGTAAGCAAAACTTCATGAAAAAGGAAGCCCTTCCCCTAACTGCTGTGGCAGTGCTTGCAGAGGAGTAAAGCCTGTCTTCATATCAGTATTACCTGATGCAATTTTATATTGAGGTAGAGCAAAACAATGTGCATGTTCCTTTACTTGTTTAGCTCCTGCAGTGTGTTGCATATTTCTGTTACAACTTCAGAGTGATAATAGTTTCCAGGGTATAACCATTTCAGGGATAACAATTCCTGTGTTTTATTTTAGTTGGATGTGTACCACAAGAAGTGGATTCTTTCCCTTGCTCTTAAAAGTTGGTCCAAAGCTCTTAAAGACTCTAAACCCAAGAAGTCTTAAGTTGTAAAAATGTCAAAGTAACACAGTTTTACCCTGATGCTTTCACTAATAGTTAAAGCTGTCACAGGTTAAGAATTCTTGTCACAGGTTAGGAATTCTTTGCATGCTACCCTGAGTGTTTTTCTTGGAATATAAAAAACCCTAAAAATACTTAATTAGCTTTATCATAGGTTTTGTTTCTGTTTAGGATTCCTGGCCTGTCACTAGTTGGGTTGTAGGGTTTTATTCCCTATTGAGTCATTTTGCAAAGCGTATTCTAGGGTTCTTTTGGGATTGATCTGCAAGCATTGCACTGAGCTGTGGTTCAGAGTTTTGTCTAAAAGCTTGTGTCGCCACTCAGGGAGCCCAGGAGAGGATAGACAGCCTGCGCCGGACAGGAGTCATCCATGAGAAGCAGCCTGCTGTGTCGGTGGAAAACTTCATTGAGGAGCTGCTTCCTGACAAGTGAGAGCTTTGAATTTATTCCAGGAGGGTGGGGACACGTTGGGAATATTCCTTGTTGACTCAAAGCCTGTAAGGAGCTGGTGGAAGTTCAAGCAGAGAGGAGAGGAAAGGGTTTGTCT